CCCCGACTTCTCTGTTTTCCTTTGTAAAATCCCCAATTCCCAAATCCTCCCCAACTCATCCTTTTTCCTTTGTAGAATCCTCCCCAATTCCAAAATCCTCCCCGACTCCTCCGTTTTCCTTTGTAGAACCCTCACCAATTCCCAAATCCTCCCCAACTCCCCTTTCTCCTTTGTAGAACCCTCCTCAATTCCCAAATCCTCCCCAACTCCGTCTTTTTCATTTGTAGGATCGCCAATTCCCAAATCATCCCCAACTCCTCCTTTCTCTTTTGTAAACTCCTCCCCAATACCCAAATCCTCCACAACTCATCATTTTTCCTTTGCAGATTCCTCCCCAAGGCCCAAATCCTCCCCAACTCTTCCTCAACTCCGTCATTTTCCTTTTGTAGAATCACCCGCAATTCCCAAATCATCCCTCTTCATTTTTCCTTTGTAGAATCCTCCCCAATTCCCAAATCCTCCCCAACTCCTCCTTTTTTCCTTTGTAGAATCCTCCTCAATTCCCAAATCCTCTCCAACACATTTTTTCCTTTGTAAAATCTTCCCCAATTCCCAAATCCTCACCAACTCCTCCTTTTTCCTTTGTAGAATCCTCCCCCAATTCCAAAATCCTCCCCAACTCCTCCTTTTTTTTTCATTGTGGAACCCTCCTCAATTCCCAAGTCCTGCCCAACTCCTATTTTTTTTCCTTTGTAGAATCCTCCCGCATTCCAAAATCCTGCCCAACTCATCCTTTTTCGTTTGTCGAATCATCCCCAATGTCCAAAATCCTCCCCAACTCTTTTTTTTCCCTTTTGTAGAATCCTCCCAAATTCCCAAATCCTCCCCAACTCATCCTTTTTCCTTTCTGTAGAATCCTCACCAATTCTCAAATCCTCACCAGAACATTTTTTTCCGTTGTAGAATCCTCCCCAATTCCCAAATCCTCCCCAACTCGTCCTTTTTCATTTTTTGTAGAATCCTCAGCAAATTCCAAATCCTCACCAACTCCTCCTTGCTCCTTTGTAGAAACCTCCCCGATTCCAAAATCCTCCCCAACTCTTCCTTTTTCCTTTGTAGAATCCGCCCACATTCCCAAATCCTCCCCAACCCACCCTTTTTCCGTTGTGGAATCCTCACCGATTCCCGAATCCTCCCCAACTCCTCCTTTCTCCTTTGTAGAATCCTCCTCAGTTACCAAATCTTCCCCACCTATTCCTTTATTCCTTTGTAGAATCCTCTCCAATTCCCGAATCCTCCCCAACTCCTCCTTTTTCCTTTGTAGAATCCTCCCCAATTCCCAACCCCCCCCCAACTCTTATTTTTTCCTTGGTAGAATTCATCCCCATTTCCCAGATCATCCCCACCTCCTCCTTTTTCCTTTGTAGAATCTTCCCCAATTCCCAAGTCCTCCCCGACTCCCTCTTTTTCATTTGTAGGATCCTCACCAATTCCCAAATCCTCCCCAACTCGTTTTTTTCCGTTGTAGAATCCCACCCAAATACTCAGATCCTCCCCAATTCATCCTTTTTTCCTTTTGTAGAATCCTCCCCAAATTCCTAAATCCTTCCCAACTCCTCCTTTTTCCTTGGTAGAACCCTCCCCAATTCCCAAATCCTCCCCAACTCCTCCTTTTTCCTTTGTAGAATCCTCCCAAATTCCCAAATCCCCCCCAGCTCCTCCTCTTTCCTTTGTAGAATCCGTCTCAATTCCCAAATCATCATCAACTCTTCTTTTTTCATGTGTAGAATCCTCTCCAATTCCCAAATTCTCCCCAACTATTCATTTTCCTTTTGTAGAATCCTCACCAATTCCCAAATCCTCCCCAACACACCTTTTTTCCTTTGTGGAATCCTCCCCAATTCCCAAATCCCCTCCCAACTCCGTCGTTTTCCTGTGTAGAATCCTCACCAATTCCCAAATCCTCCCTAACTCATCTTTTTTCCTTTTTTAGAATCCTCCCCGATTCCCAAATCCTCCCCAACTCATCCTTTTTCGTTTGTTGAATCCTCCACAATCCCCGAATCCTCCCCAACTCATCCTTCTCCCATTTGTAGAATCCCTTCCAATTCCCAAATCCTCCCCATCTCACCATTTTTTCCATTGTAGAATCCTCACCAATTTCCAAATCCTCCCTTAACTCTTCCTTTTTCCTTTGTAGAATCCTCCCCAATTCCCAAATCCTCCCCAACTCGGTCTTTTTCCTTTTGTAGAATCCTCCTCAGTTCCCAAATCCTCCCCAACTCCGTCTTTTTCTTTGTAGAATCCTCTCCAATTCCAAAATCCTCCCCACTTGTTTTTTTCCTTTGTAGAATCCTCCCCAAATACACAGATCCTCCCCAACTCCTCCTCTTTCCGTTTGTAGAATCCTCCCAAATTCCCGAATCCTCCCCAACTCCTCCTTATTCCTCGGTAGAACCCTCCCCAATTCCCAAATCCTCCCCAAATCCTCTTTTTTCCTTTGTAGAACCCTCCCCAATTCCCAAATCCTCCTCAGCTCTTCCTTTTTCCTTTGTAGAATCCGCACCAATTCCCAAATCATCTTCAACTCTCTTTTTTTTCCTTTGAAGATTCCCCCACAATTCCAACATCTTCCCCAACTGTTCCTTTTTCCTTTGTAGAATCCTCCCCAATCCCCAAATCCTCACCAACTCCTCCTTTTTCCTTTGTAGAATCCTCCCCAATTCCCAAAGAATCCCCTCAACTCATTTTTTTTCCTTTGTAGAATCCTCCCCAATTCCAAAATCCTCCCCAGCTCCTTCTTTCTCTTTTGTAGAATCCCCCCTCAATTCCCAAATCCTCCCCGACTCCTCTTTTTTCCTTTGTAGAACCCACCCCGTTCCCAAATCCGCCCCAACTCATCCTTTTTCCTTTGTAGAATCCGCCCCAATTCCCAAATCTTCCCCAACTCCTCCTTGTTCCTTTGTAGAACGCTCCCCAATTCCCAAATCCTCCCCAACTCCCCTTTCTCCTTTGTAGAATCCTCCCCACTTCCCAAATCCTCCCCAACTCATCCTTTTTCCTGTGTAGAATCCTCCCCAATTCCCAAAGCATCCCCAACTTCTCCTTTCTCTTTTGTAGAATCCTCCCCAATTACCAAATCCTCCCCAACTCCTTTTTCCTTTGTAGAATCCTGCCCAATTCCCAAATCCCCCCCAACTCTTCCTTTTTCCTGTGTAGAATCCTCCCCAATTCCCAAATCCTCCCCAACTCTTCCTTTTTCGTTTGTAGAATCCTCCCCAATTCCCAAATCCTCCCCAGCTTTTTTTTCCGTTGTAGAATACTCCCAAGTCCCAAATCCTCCCCAACTCTTCCTTTTTCCTTTGTAGAAACCTCCCCAATTCCCAAATCCCCCCCAAACACCTTTTTTGTCCTGTGGAATCCTCCCCAATTCCCAAATCCTCCCCAACTCCATCTTTTTTCCTTTGTAGAATCCTCCCCAAGTCCCAAATCCTCCCCAACTCCTCCTTTCTCCTTTGTGGAATCCTTCCCAATTCCCAAATCCTCCCCAACTCATCCTGTTTCCTTTGTAGAATCCTCCCCAATGCCAAAAATCCTCCCCAACTCCTCCTTTTTCCTTTGTAGAATCCTCCCCACTTCCCAAATCCTCCCCAACTCCTCCTTTTTCCTTTGTAGAATCCTCCCCAATTCCCAAATCCTCCCCAACTCCTCCTTTTTCTTTTGTAGAAGCCCCCCCTCCCCCCAATTCCCAAATCCTCCACAACTCCTCTTTTTTGCTTTGTAGAATCCTCCCCAATTCCAAAATCCTCCACAACTCCTACTTTTTTCCTTTGTAGAATCAAGTCCAATTCCAAAATCCCCCCCCCAACTCATCCTTTTTCCTTTGTAGAATCCGCCCCAATTCCCAAATCCTCCCCAACCCTTCCTTTTTCCTTTTGTAGAATCCTCCCCAATTACCAAATCCTCCCCAACTCCTCCTTTTTCCTTTGTAGAACCCCTCCCCCCCATTCCCAAATCCTCCCCAACTCTTTTTTTTTCCTTTTGTAGAATCATCCCCAATTCCCAAATCCTCCCCAACTCCTCCTTTTCCTTTTGTAGAATCCTCCCCAATTCCAGAATCCCCCCCAACTCCTGCTCTTTCCTTTGTAGAATCATCCCCGGGTCCCAACTTCCCAACTCCTGCTCTTTCCTTTGTAACCCCCCCCAATTCCCAAATCCTCCCCAACTCCTGTTAATTCCCTTCTAGAATCCACCCACCTTCCTGAACAAACAAATCCAACCAGAAAGTCACGCACGCCCATTACATTACCGGAAAAATTGTTCAGGGAATTATTACTGTAATATTAACCGCTTCAACAGTATTCGATTATCAGAACTTTCCTGGCGTGGCGTTTAGTTGTCCGCAGCAGATCCTGACGTACATGTTCCTTCTACCTGTCCTGTGCACGCAGGCACTGTGGTGTACACCAGCGCTGCATTGCACGCGGATGCTGTGGTGTAGACAGGCGCTGTGGCGTGCACAGGCGCTGCGGTGCACGCAAGCAGTGTGGTGTACACAGGCGTTGTGTTGCACATGGCTGCTGCGGTGTATGTACATCGGCGCTGTAGTGCTCCCAAGTATCGTGGTATACACGGGCGGTGCATTGCACACGGCTGTTGCGGTGTACGCAGGTGCTGTGGTGCACACGCGCGGTGTGGTGCAGGCGAGCGTTGTGGTGCACACAGGCGCAATGGGCAGATCGCCACTTACATGCTGCTCGCGTCGTCGTCGTCGCTCGTCGCTCGTCGCTCGTCGCGTCGTCCGCGCGGGCGCGGCTGTGGTGCCGCAGCCACTCGGCGGGGGGGGGCGTCACGTCATACCCCCCCCAGCCCTCCCCCTCCCCCCATGACGCCCGTCATCGCCGAACATAAAGAAACGCGCTCTAAGCAAATCAGTCTAAGCTAATCATCCCGCACGCCTTCTCACGCCTCGCAAGCCGGGGTCGGCGAATTTTTCGAACCTTCTAATTTATGAAGCGTCGTTGCGAGACCCTCCCATATTGCCCGCGTTTGGCCGGAAGGTATGCAAGGAGGAATTGATGGACCAGCAAAGTCTTCCCGAGGCGCTTCTTCCACATCTCCTCTTTTTTCTGATCGTTCCCCTCACGAATCTCATCAACATCTCTCCCCCCCTACCTCCATCTGTGCATTGCGCTTGACGCGCGCAGACGCTACCCCGCGACGCGCGTCAGTCAACCGTGAATCCTCAAATGCGGTCCAGTCTCGCGGGTTGTTCCACAAGGAGCCTCCTCCGACACAAATCCGGGGCATCTCCGCCGCGAAAGGTTGGTTGAAGTTGTCGGTCCACTTGGATACGGTAGTCGGCCAGAAGGGGGCTTTCTCCGAGCGTGAGATCTTGCAATGTCTTGCGCTGGTCGACTCAGGCGTGGGTGCCGCGTCACGCCAGACCGCACCACTCCATGGTGCTTGCGCTTGTCTTCGATGCAGCACCTGCGTGCAAATGCTTTCAACTCACCAACGTTGATCAACCTTCAGGTAGCGTCAGCCAACTTTAGTTGATTGATACTGTACAGAGTCCGGCGGAATCACAAAAAGGTTGACACCCGAAGGGAATGCAGCATTAGTGTCAATCGGGTCTCCAGTCGGCGGCGAGCGGGCTGTCGCAGAAGGCTCGGAATTCCCCAGGCCTTCTGAGAAGTGTTCTGAGCCTTCCGAGAAGACTGCACAAAAACCTTTCAGAAGGCGCGAGTCCCGCCGCCTTCCGAAGAGGCCTTCTCCTCCTGAGGAGCATCCTTGATCATTTGGCGAAGAAACCACACAGGGAATGGACGTCCGAGCGATGGCCAGGAGTCGGGTTCGGAGTTGCCGCGCGAGGCCTCCCGAGCATTTTCCCCATGTTGGCTCAGCCCCTGGAGCTTTTGGCGCCAGTAAGCAGGAGGAGGAGGCCAGAGTAGATGCGGGCTTCTCCACTTCTCCACTACTCCGGCTCTACCTCTCCATTTCTTTCTGCCTTTTTCTCTCTTTCTCTCTCTCTGCCTTTTCTGGTTCCTGTCGCGCACGCACTGTCCGCATCATCGTTTCGCATCCACGCGCGCGTTTCCCTTTCTTTGCCGGCACGAGCGTTCAAACGCAACGCCTCACCAGGCAACGCTAACCTCGCAATGCTGGCCTGCTCTTCCCTTGCTCCAGCATTGATAGGGCAAGGTTGAAAATGATGGGCCGATTTCCCACCATCACTACCAAAGGTAGGAGAGGGAGGAGGAGGAGGAGGAGGAGGAGGAGGAGGAGGAGGAGCCGAAGACGAAGACGAAGACGAAGACGAAGACGAAGACGAAGACGAAGAAGAAGGAAAAGAAGAAGAAGAAGAAGGAGGAGGAGGAGGAAGGACCTCCCCATCCTCCCTTCCTCCCCCCTCCTGCCCATCGCAGCGGTGGCGGAACATCGGCCCAGCAAAGTTCAGGAGGGAAAGAAACACACAGACACAATTAATCGTCGACTCCCAGGAAAATATGCAAAAATATGGGAAGTGGTGGGGAAGACAAAAACCCAGAAAATATAGGAAAAAATGGGGGATATTTTTATTTGTGTGTATTTATTTGTGTGTTCCAGTTCCCCGTCAAAAGTAAGAGGCCACAGGGGGCCACCGCGGCCGGCCCGGCTCCTGGTGGGCAGCAGGCCGAGGTCGACGCGGGGGCCGACCGTGCGGCCTTCGGCGCACCTGGCGGCCCGCGTGCGGTCGCGCGCGAGCGCCCTCACTATCTCTCTCTCTCTCTCGCGCTCTCTCTCTCTCTCTCTCTCTCCCTCTCCCTGTTTTTTGTGTTTGTTTCTCTCTCTCTCTCTCTGTCTCTCTCTCTCTCTCTCACACTCTCTGTCTCTCTCTGTCACTCTCTCTCTCTCTCTGTCACTCTCTCTCTTTCTCTCCCTGTCTCTCTCCCTCTCTCTCACTCTCCCTGTCTCTCTCTCTCTCTCTCTGTCTCTCTCCGTCACTCTCTCTCTCTCTCACTCGCTCTCTCTCTCTCTCTCGTCGTACTGTGCCGTGCGGGCGGGCTGCATAAGCCGTCGCGCCAGGCCACCGCGTCTTCGTGCGCAAGCTCCTCTTGTGCCTTCGTCGCCCAGCTCGCCTGACGGAGGGGCAGCCAGCAGGGCAGGAGGATCAGGAGTTGGCAGCCCAGAGGCATCCCCAGCCTCGGGCCCGGAGGCATGCACAGCCTCTGCATTCTCTCTCTCTCTCTCTCTCTCTCTCTTTCCTTCTCTCTCTTTCTTTCTTTCCCCCTCTGTTTCTCTCTATCTCTCGCTCTCTCTCTCTCTCTCTCTCTGTCTATCTCTCTCTCTCTCTCTCTCTCTCTCTCTCTCTACACACACACACGGGCAGTTCGAGCTGTCTTCGCTTTTCGCCTGCAAGTCGTGCCGTGCTCGCCGACCCGTCCCGCTGCGACCTGCGACCTGCGGATGGCCAGGGAGGGCCTCTTGTCCGGCGAGGGGGGAGGGGCCGAATGTTTTCCCCGATCCTGAACCTCCGCTCCTCCTCCTCCTCCTCGTGTTCCTCCTCCTCCTCCTCCTCCTCCTCCTCCTCCTCCTCCTCCTCCTCCTCTTCCCCCCTCTCCTCCTGCTCCTGCCTCCCGCCGGGCCAGGCGCTGCCGAGGATCTTGCCCTCGTCCCCCGCCCGGCCGGCCTCCTCGCGGGCCGCGCGGCGCGCCGAGCAGGCGGGAGGGCGCGCCCGCCGCCCCTCCGACGGGCGGCGGCAAGGGCTCCCACGAGGGCGCGAAGTTATTCGCCCTTCGCGCTTCGCGGTCCTCGTTCCTTCTCCCCCCTCCTCCTCGTCCTCCTTTTCTCCCTTTGGGGGGGCGGCGCGAGGGCGCGAAGTTATTCGCGCTTCGCGCTTCGCGGAGCGCGAAGCGCGAAGTTGGGAGCCCTAGCGGCGGGGAGGGGGGTGGCACGAGGGCGTGGGAGAGGGCGGGCCCGCACCTGCCGCCCCCGCCCCCGCTCGGGAGGGGAGAAGACACACAGCCACAAGGAATCGTCGACCCCCAGGGAAAAATATGGGAAAACATGGGAAGTGGGGGGGGGGAAGCCAAGAACCCGGAAAATATTGGAAAATATGGGGGATCCTTTTATTAGTGTGTATTTATTTGTGTGTCTCAGGGCCCCTTCACCGGCCCCCTCCGTCCCCGGGGCAGCAGTGGGGAGCTCAGGGCCCTGGAAACGACAGGGCCGTTTGTTTACCGCTTCCGTTTCGCCGTTTTTTGTTGCTTGTTCCGACGCCGTTTTTTTACCGGTTCCGTCGCCGTTTTTTTATGGGCTCCCGCTCCGGTTCCAATCCTGGAGCCGTTTTTTTGCCGTTTCCAGTTTCAAGGGACATTTTTCGGAAACTGTGAAAAAACGGCCTTGCCGTTTCTGGGTCCCACTAAGGTGTGGAGGGCAGGGGCGCACGGGGGCTGGCCCAGTCAAGCCGCGGCGAAGCGTCCTGGTTTGCCTGTAGGCCCACCGAAGAATGCTATGAGAACCTCTTTGGTGGTCTGCACGAACTGTTCTCAGGGCAGTTATGGCTGAGACTGTCTTGATTCAGTGCATCGGGCTCACGTATGTTATCCGAACATCGTTTTTGTTCTTAGAACATTTTTGGAGTCTGAGAAGATTTCGTGGTAGGCGTATAGGAATGCCAGGACGATCGGTCCCTGCTCAACCCAGAAGTTGACACCGGCACCAATGTCGGCGGTGTGCCTCCACCAAGGAGCCGCACTATTACGATAGCCATGTCGGGCCTCCAAAATAGCCGAATAATTATTGACGTTTCGCGTATCCCCACCAGCTTACCTGGCTGGTCTACGCCGTCGTCACGGTCTTGGCCCTTGGCGCCCCCCTGGCGACTCGACCATCATTTACTTCGCCTTTCCCCGCCACCATGTTTGAGAGGATCGCACGGGCAGGTCACCCACCTGCTTCTGCTTGCACCTCCACCTGTGTGGTCTGACGCCGCAGCGCGTAACACCGAATTCCCTGGCATTTTGCTCTGGGCTGCACGTTGCTCGAGCTTCCCTGGGCATTCCAGATCAGCCAGCCAGCCGCCGCCCTGCTGCCCCAGCTGCCGCCTTGTGAGCTGACCCGGCCGGTTTGTGTCGCGCCCAGTAGCTAATTAGGCTTGCCCGTCGGCCCGGACACCCTGCTCGTCTCCTGCCCTCCTCGCTTGCGGCCGCGACCAAACAAATCCCAACCAGCCCATCCACAATTGATTGCCAGTTTTCTTGAGGCCTCTTGGAGGCTATCTTGAGCAATGCTCGGCTGGAGGCTGTCGGAGGCTATCTTGAGCCATGTTCGGCTATCTTGGGCCATCGTGAGGCTGCCTCAATGCCTCTTGGAGGTCTGTCGGAGGCTATCTTGAGCCATGCTTGGCTATCTTAGGCTATGTTGAAGGCCATATTGGGCTATCTAGGGCCCTCTTGGAACCATTTTGGGCCAAAAAGGGCGGGCTGGGGGTCTTTGGGAGAGGCTGGGAGGCGTCTTGGGGCCATTTTGGGCCCCATGTCTCAAAAAGAGGGGGGGGGGGGCAGAAATTCGAGTCCCCCCCTTCGGAGGCTCTCGAACGGCGTATTGGGGCCGTCTTGGAGCGCTCTTGGGCGCCTCTTGGGCGATCATGGGGCCGTCTTCGGCCTTTTTGGGCCCTTCTGGGGGCCCTTTTGGGCCATCATGGTGCCATTTTAATTAAGTCTGCCAAAGCCCATCGGAAGCGAAAAGGCGAGAACGCCAAAAACATTCATTTCCCACAGGCGTTTGAAGGGTTGGGCATCTTGGAGGGCGCCGTAGAGGGCTCGAAAGGCACGTGGATCCTTCTTGGGGCTGTCGTGGGGCCTCTTGGAGGTATGTCGGAGGCTATCTTGACCCATCTTGAAGTAACATGGGCCATCTTGGATGCCATCTTGCGACTTTGAACGCCTCTTCGAACAATCTTGGGCCATCTTGGACGTTCTAACGCCTCGCGGCGCGCCCCGTCCAGGCCCAGGGGAGGGGGTAGGGGAAGGGGTTTCAGTGGAAAGGAGAAAAACAAACGCGCTATACCACCTAAGCCCAGAGAGTTGGTGGGATTACCGCCAACACCACAGTCGAGGATCATATTCCCCTGGTGGAGGCAGCCCCGTGTGTTGGTGCCAATTTCCAGGCCTCCAAGCACGGGGTCGGTTCGGCGGCGTCGCAGTCGGTTGCGTTTGGTCGTTTCGGTTCGGTCGTTTGTGGTGTCGTTGCCGCGTCGTTGCGCACTTCGAGGCCCGTCTCGGCCTGTCGATTGCGGTCGGTTTCGGTTTCGTTGTCGGTTCGGTCGGTTTTCCGTTTTGTTGTCGCCGTGCACGACCTCGGATGGGGAGAAAGATTTGGCCGCATGATAGTATCCACCCTGCCAGGGGCGGGGATGGCTCGGGGCTCGGGTGCTTAGTTTGACGGAGCACCCCACCACGGCAGGTGTGCGTCTTGGAGCTGTTCGTACCAGTTTGAAGCATATCCCGATCCCCGTGTTTGACATCGCGTGACCTCGATGCCGATGTCAAGGGGTTCCCTCAGTGTCTGAGGGCGCACCCCCGAAGCTGTCCTCGCTTTCTGCTCGCCCACCTCAGGGGTAGGGATGAGTTCGAGGCTGGTTATTGGTGAGCTGGGGAGGGGGCCGAGGAGGAGGAGGAGGAGGAGGAGGAGAAGAAGGGGAGGAGGAGGAGGAGGGAGGAGGGAGAGGGAGGGAGGGAGGCTGGCCTTTTGTGCTCTGACCCATCAGCAGCGGCCGCAGCCTGTCTGTGAGCGCCTGGAGCCGCGAGGGAGGCCCTGCACTGGAAGGGCACGCGGCGTCCTCGCAGCCCCCCCTCCTCCCCCCCCTCCTCCTCCTCCTCCTCCTCCCCCTCCTCCTCCTCCTCCTCCCCCTCCTCTCCCCCCCCCTCTCCTCCTCCTCCTCCTCCTCCTCCTCCTCCTCCTCCTCCTCCTCCTCCTCCTCTCCTCCTCCTCCTCCTCCTCCTCCTCCTCTCCTCTCCTCCTCCTCCTCCTCCCCCCCTCCTCCTTGACCTCGATCCGCCGCCAGGGGTCCCGAGTCGGCTCGGCCGTCTCCTCGTCCCCCTCCTCCTCCTCCTCCTCCTCCTCTCCTCCTCCTCCTCCTCCTCCTCCTCCTCCTCCTCCTCGCGCTCCTCTGCCCCCGCTCGTCCCGCCGCTCGGGATGCCTCCTTCAAGCAGCGGCGAAGCGTCCTGGCTCGCCTGTAGCCCTACCAAAAAGTATTACAAGAACCTTTTTGTTGTGGTTTCCGCGCAATGTTCGCAGAACATGTCTGGCGGAACCTGTCTTGTGTTATCACATCGGGTTTCTGTTCTAAGAACCTTAATTTACGTTATTAGAACATGTTTGGGTTCTAAGAACATTTCGTGGTAGGACTATAGGAATGCCGGGACGGTCGGTCCCTGCTCAACTCCTACCTTTCCATCCTCCCTCGTACAGTGGGGGCCCATGCCAAGAAACAACCTGCTCACCTCCAGGGTGCCCTGGGTTTCTTGGGTTTCGATGGCGTTGCTATGGAAGGCGTGGCGCTCCCACACCAAAAAAATCCATGGATGCCCTGGGGTCTCAGGGTTGGGTTTCTTGTGGAAGGTCTCTTGTGGTCGGGCCCCCTTTTCAAAAAGAATCATACATTCGGCACGCCAGTGGCCGTCGCCCCATTCCGATACCGTGCACAGGTCGTAGGTCAAAGGACTCGTGGATGCCTATTGGGATCTCTTGGGAGACCTCTCAGGAGTTTCTTGGAGGCGGTGTTGGGGTGTCTTTGGGGCCGTATCTATGGGCCCTGTGCCGGTCATACGCCGCTCCAGAGTGACCCGCAGGCCTTGTGCCACGAGCTTGTCGCTCCCAGCGTGCCGGCCGAGCCCGCGTGGAACAGCCGCGACCAGGAGTGTGGACAGGCGCTTCCCGCGCACGTGGGGGGTGGATCGGGTCCCCCTCCTCTTCATTTTCCTTATCCTTTTCCTCCTCCCTCCTCCTCCTCCTCCTCCTCCTCCTCCTCCTCCTCCTCCTCCTCAGTGGGGGGGTGTGAGTTCGATCGGCTTTTGCACCTAACCGCCCAAAGCAGGTGCCCCCCAGCCGCCGGCAGCTCTCAATAGTTGCCAATAGGATTGGGCATTCGGAGGGAGCATCTGTTTGCGGCAGCTCGGTGCACCAGCGGATCGAACTCATGCCCCCCCTCTTCAGGGTCACCCTCCCTTTTTGGTGGATCCCGAGAGGATTGCGAGCGGTGATCATATCCATGTCCATGACGTCGCGGTCTGGATACGGGGGCGCTTCCACGGATACGCGGTCTTGGAGATGCATTCCGCCCGGGGCATGCGCGCAGCGCCCTATATATATATATATATATATATATATATATATATATATGTGTGTGTATGTGTATACATATACATACATATGTGTGTGGCATACGTACATACATACATACATATACATAAGTACGTACGTACATAACATACATACATACATACAGCCATACATACAATCCATACATACATAAATACAAAACATAAATGACATAAATGTCATAAAAAACGCCTTTCTGCATAAAAACATAATAACATACATACATACATACATACATACATGCATGCATGAATGGGTGTATGTGGTGGTGGGTGGTCACTGCATCAGGGAAACAAGTCCCGAGCAGAGCAACACGCACCACGACCACGACGACGCCGACGACAACGACGACGACGACAACGGAGACGAAGCGCGCAGACGATCCGCACCGAAGACGGAATCGGAAAAGGGCCCACCCTGCAGGTTCGGTAAAACAGCATATCGTTGAGCGGTGCTGCAGCCTCCCCTGAGAACAGGCTCCCCCAGAGCATCAGCCAGACAAGTCGGGTTTGCACGCTCATGCCTTGCTCGACTCTGGGCGCGTTTCGGCACCCTCTCCCCCAACCTCGTCAGGGCCATCGACAAGGGAGAGGGCGGCGGTGGCCGACGCGTCCCTGAGCTAAGAAGCTCAAAACGCCGCGGCTCAAAGAGCCGGGAAGAGAAACAAACAGACGAACGGACGGACAAACGGAAAGCCAGGAGGAGTGCAACGACTGGCAATCCAAGCGGGTGGTCACTGCATTAGGGAAACAAGTCCCGAGCAGAGCAACACGCACCACGACCACGACGACGCCGACGACAACGACGACGACGACGACGGATACGAGGCGCGCAGACGATCCGCACCGAAGCACGGATTCGGGAAAGGGCCCACCCTGCAGGTTCGGTTAAACAGCATATCGTTGAGCGGTGCTGCAGCCTCCCCTGAGAACAGGCTCCCCCAGAGCATCAGCCAGACAAGTCGGGTTTGCACCCTCATGCCTTGCTCGACTCTGGGCGCGTTTCGGCACCCTCTCCCCCAACCTCGTCAGGGCCACCGACAAGGGAAGAGGGCGGCTCGTGCCGAGCGTCCCGAGTTAAGAAGCTCAAAGCGCTATGGCTCAGGAGAGCCGGAAAGTGGACAGACAGACGGACGGACGGACAGCCAGGCGGCGCGCAATGCCTGGCAAGCCAAGTGGGTGGTCACTGCATAAGGGAAGCATAATCCCGAGCAGAGCAACACGCACCACGACCACGACGACGCCGACGACGACGACGACGGAGACGAGGCGCGCTTACGATCCGCACCGAAGCACGGATTTGGGAAAGGGCCCACCCAGCAGGTTCGGTTAAACAGCACATCGTTGAGCGGTGCTGCAACTTCCCCTGAGCACAGGCCCCCCCAGAGCATCAGCCAGACCAGTCGGGCTTGCACCCTCATGCCCTGCTGGACTCTGGGCGGGTTTCGGCACCCTCTCCCCCAACCTCGTCAGGGCCACCTACAATGGAGAGGGCGGCGGTGGCCGACGCGTCCCCGAGCTAAGAAGCTCAAGGCGCCGCGGCTCAGAGAGCCGGGAAGACAGACAGACAGACGGACGGACAGCCAGGCGGCGTGCAATGCCTGGCAAGCCAAGTGGGTGGTCACTGCATAAGGGAAACAGAATCCCGAGCAGAGCAACACGCACCACGACCACGACGACGCCGACGACGACGACGACGGAGACGAGGCGCGCTTACGATCCGCACCGAAGCACGGATTTGGGAAAGGGCCCACCCTGCATGTTCGGTTAAACAGCACATCGTTGAGCGGTACTGCAGCCTCCCCTGAGCACAGGCCCCCCCAGAGCATTAGCCAGACAAGTGGGGTTTGCACCCTCATGCCGTGCTGGACTCTGGGCGCGTTTCGGCACCCTCTCCCCCAACCTCGTCAGGGCCACCGACAAGGGAGAGGGCGGCGGTGGCCGACGCGTCCCCGAGCTAAGAAGCTCAACGCGCCGCGGCTCAGAGAGCCGGGAAAACAGACAGACAGACGGACGGACGGACAGCCAGGCGGCGTGCAATGCCTGGCAAGCCAAGTGGGTGGTCACTGCGTAAGGGAAACAGAATCCCGAGCAGAGAAACACGCACCACGACCACGACGACGCCGACGACGACGACGACGGAGACGAGGCGCGTTTACGATCCGCACCGAAGCACGGATTTGGGAAAGGTCCCACCCTGCAGGTTCGGTTAAACAGCACATCGTTGAGCGGTGCTGCAGCCTCCCCTGAGCACAGGCCCCCCCAGAGCATCAGCCAGGGACAAGGGTGGCTTGCCACACTCATGCCTTTGGACTCTGGGCCCGTTTCGGCCACCCCTCCCCCAACCTCGTCAGGGCCAGCAAGGGAGAGGCGGCTGGTGGCCGGCGCGTCCGAGTAAGACAGCTTCAAAGCGCCGCGGCTCAGGGAGGCGGGAAGACAGACGGACGACAAGACGTACGGACGGGACAGCCAGGCGGCGTGCAATGCCTGGCAAGCCAAGTGGGTGGTCAGTGCATAAGGGAAACAGAATCCCGAGCAGAGCGACACGCACCACGACCACGCCGACGACGACGACGACGGAGACGAGGCGCGCTTACGATCCGCACCGAAGCACGGATTTGGGAAACAGCCCACCCTGCAGGTTCGGTTAAACAGCTCATCGTTGAGCGGTGCTGCAGCCTCCCCTGAGCACAGGCCCCCCCAGAGCATCAGCCAGACAAGTCGGGTTTGCACCCTCATCCCTTGCTGGACTCTGGGCGCGTTTCGGCACCCTCTCCCCCAACCTCGTCAGGGCCACCGACAAGGGAGAGGGCGGCGGTGGCCGACGCGTCCCCGAGCTAAGAAGCTCAAAGCGCCGCGGCTCAGAGAGCCGGGAAGACAGACAGACGGACGGACGGACGGACAGCCAGGCGGCGCGCAATGCCTGGCAAACCAAGTGGGTGGTCACTGCATAAGGGAAACAGAATCCCGAGCAAAGCAACACGCACCACGACCACGACGACGCCGACGACGGAGACGAGGCGCGCTTACGATCCGCACCGAAGCACGGATTTGGGAAAGGGCCCACCCTGCAGGGTCGGTTAAACAGCACATCACGACGACGCCGACGACGGAGACGAGGCGCGCTTACGATCCGCACCGAAGCACGGATTTGGGAAAGGGCCCACCCTGCAGGGTCGGTTAAACAGCACATCGTTGAGCGGTGTTGCGGCCTCCCCTGAGCACAGGCCCCCCCAGAGCATCAGCCAGACAAGTCGGGTTTGCACCCTCATGCCTTGCTGGATTCTGGGCGCGTTTTGGCACCCTCCCCCCCCAACCTCGTCAGGGCCACCGACAAGGGAGAGGGCGGCGGTGGCCGACGCGTCCCCGAGTTAAGAAGCTCAAAGCGCCGCGGCTCAGAGAGCCGGGAAGACAGACAGACGGACGGACGGACGGACAGCCAGGCGGCGTGCAATGCCTGGCAAGCCAAGTGGGTGGTCACTGCATAAGGGAAACAGAATCCGAGCAGAGCAACACGCACCACGACCACGACGACGCCGACGACAACGACGACGACGGAGACGAGGCGCGCAGACGATCCGCACCGAAGCACGGATTCGGGAAAGGGCCCACCCTACAGGTTCGGTCAAACAGCACATCGTTGAGCGGTGTTGCAGCCTCCCCTGAACACAGGCCCCCCCAAAGCATCAGCCAGACAAGTCGGGTTTGCACCCTCATGCCTTGCTGGAGTTTGGGCGCGTTTCGGCACCTTCCCCCCAAAGCTCGTCAGGGCCACCGGCAAGGGAGAGGTCGGCGGTCGCCGACGGGTTCCTGAGCTAAGACGCTTAAGAGTGCCGCGGCTCAGAGAGCCGGGAAGACAGACAGACAGACACGCGGACGGACGGACAGCCAGGCGGCGCGCAATGCCTGGCAAGCCAAGTGGGTTGTCATTGCATAAGGGAAACAGAATCCCGAGCAGAGCAACACGCACCACGACCACGACGACGCCGACGACGACGACGACGGAGACGAGGCGCGCTTACGATCCGCACCGAAGCACGGATTTGGGAAAGGGCCCACCCTGCAGGTTCGGTTAAACAGCACATCGTTGAGCGGTACTGCAGCCTCCCCTGAGCACAGGCCCCCCGGAGCATTAGCCAGACAAGTGGGGTTTGCACCCTCATGCCGTGCTGGACTCTGGGCGCGTTTCGGCACCCTCTCCCCCAACCTCGTCAGGGCCACCGACAAGGGAGAGGGCGGCGGTGGCCGACGCGTCCCCGAGCTAAGAAGCTCAAAGCGCCGCGGCTCAGAGAGCCGGGAAAGACAGACAGACAGACACGGACGGACGGACAGCCAGGCGGCGCGCAATGCCTGGCAAGCCAAGTGGGTGGTCACTGCATAAGGGAAACAGAATCCGAGCAGAGCAACACGCACCACGACCACGACGACGCCGACGACGACGACGACGGAGACGAGGCGCGCTTACGATCCGCACCGAAGCACGGATTTGGGAAAGAGCCCACCCTGCAGGTTCGGTTAAACAGCTCTCATCGTTGAGCGGTGCTGCGGCC